GAGTAACCGCCGCCGCCGCCGCCAAAGCTCGCCAACATGGCGGACCTGGAGGCCGTGCTGGCCGATGTCAGTTACCTGATGGCCATGGAGAAGAGCAAGGCTACCCCGGCCGCCCGCGCAAGCAAGAGGATCGTCCTGCCGGAGCCCAGGTACCAGCTGCCCCGGCCGGCGCCGGCCCCAAGCCGCCGCCCCCTGCGGCCGCCTGCGACTCCCTGCTTCCTGGAGGGTCGAGCACTGAGCCTCCGCTGCCCCGGGGCGGGTGACACAGCGGAGCGGGCGATGCGGGGCCAGCCTCGTTGTTCCAGTCTCTGAAACGGGGCATCGGAGGGCTGGTGGGGGTCACTCCGGGAGAGAGCGCTCCGAAATGCCCGGCGCGGCGCCCTGCGCGCAGCGAGCGCCCCAGCGAGGGGCTGGTTATGACTTTGCTGGACTAGCTCCATCCCTCTCGCCCCCTCCCGCCCAGCCCTGTCCTGCCCTGTCCTGCCCTGTCCCATCCCCGTGGTTCTTCCTGTTGCATTGGTGTGGTCCCCCTTGGCTCCTTTCCTGTCACTCCTTTGCGCTCCATCCTGGTCGCTGCTTCTTCCCGGGCTCTGCGGTCCCCCTTTCCAACTTCATCTCTCAGCTCCCTCTGGGCTGCTTACCTGGGGACTGCAGGCTTGTTGCTTATGGTCCGAGGTAAACTGCTGTTTTCAGTGCTTGCTCTTCTTGTAGTCACTAAGTCTAGTCGCCTTCTTAGGCTTCTCTTCTATTTTGTGCCTAGGCAGGATTTTGACCCACTCAATATTCTTTTTGGTGCAAAGTGTGTCCCCTGAGCTGCTTTCCTCAACTTGTAGATCTACTGGTGGCACTTCATTAAAAAATTGAAACGGGAGTCACTTAAAAAGACACTTGAACGGATGATTCCAGACAGGAATTTGTTGTTAAATTATCAAAGGAGGGCCCGATTGAATTGGCGAGGGGCTCGGTGAGGTCCATACCAAGTTGCAATTTTCTCTCAAATGATTTATTATTAAGGAACTAGTAAATTTTTTTGCTGGTTCGTATCATTAGCACTTCCCCAGAAAAAGTAGTTCGTCAGGTTAATGGTGAGTTTTAAATAGTGTATCAAGGCTTCAGCGATGGATTTTTTTTTTCTCTAGCTCCTTTTTCCTAATTAACACCATCATGAGTTGTGCAGCTAATGCGGTTCCTTGATGCTAAATAGCTCTTGGAATTGATGCTCAAAAGAGGCATTTTCTTTATGGTGAATTTGAAACCATGCAATTCTGTAAAATATTGGAATCTACACCAAAGTTACTGTCCATTTGAAATCATCAGTCCGTCAAGCGTTAGGCGCCCGAGATTGCTTAAATATTACCTAATGCTAAGTGATCATCATATGATTTTTTTACAAGTCCATCTATGAGCCCTATGATACAGAGAATACCAGTCCCCTTGTTATTTGTTGTGAAAAGCTAAATTGTGCAAATGAAGACTTGCTTGCTGGATATTTTTGGCCTCTTTTTCCTCCTTAGCCCAGGCCTCTTGTTGGCTTTGCAGGGTGTGCAACTCTTTGATAGGCAATGCCAGGTAGTGAAAATCAGGGAAAAGTGCAAACCTGTCTGCGATGTCGTGAGTTTAACACCCCTATTCCAGAGTGCAGCAGATCTGAAGCTAATTGAAAAAATCAGTGCTGCTTAAAATTTCCGGCAAATGGGAAACTTATTTAGAGAACAAGAACTCCTATATCAAACCTAAATTTCACCGAAAAAACTGTCCATTTTTATAAATGTGGTAGAAAAAGGCTTAATTCCTTTTTCTCTTGCCTTTCCTAGTGTCCCTCCACCACCCAAAGTCAGGGAGTCCTAAATATGTGGGGTTTCTATATATACAATTGATAAATCTCAACTCATGGGCAGTTATTTTTTTGCGGGGTAGAATATAATATTACTAAAGTTAGGAACTTCTGTTCAGTTTTCTTTTTTTCTTGGTATTTGGAACTTAATGTGACTTCTGCTTTTTTAGTGTCCCTCTTAAGAACTTACTTATGCGCTTAGGGTGTTCACTTCCTTGTATGAATGCCTTTGTTTTTCAGTGGTATTCTTTGGTAATGCTTTCTTTTAAGGCAGAGTGACAGCCAGCATATTTCTCATGACATTTTAAAATTGAGAAATACCAACCAGAGAGTAATTTTAGGAAACAGCCCTTCAGTAATTGTTATTCTGTTGCTCTTTTTAAAATAGACTCTCGAATTGGGCCATTGGAACCTCCCCCTGAGATTCTAATTTGTTTTCTACTTATCTTAGTGGCTTTGGCTTTAGTTTTGTAATGTAGCTATTTACATAGTAACAGTCACTCCTTGGGCTGTGTTAGGATTCTGTCACATTGAGATTATCAGGTACAACATCTTGCAAAATTCTGTCTACCACGGGATGGCAGTTAGTAGCCTACCTATTTGATTCGGAGGTTGGGGGTTGGGGAATTTCTAGATCCTGTAAGAAAGTTAACTGCGTGTTAAAATGCTCCAGCCTAATGACTTAAATGGCTGGTATGACTTCACACTTTTGTTGAAAGGGATACGGGTCAAATGTTTTCTGATAAGAGTTTCTATTTCAGCTTCCTTATAGAGCAAGCCATGTGACCCCCAGTTTTTGGTATTCTTGAAAGAGATGTTCAGATTTGTATTTTTAATATCTGAATGAGAAGCATACATTTTAATTTGCCTTTGGTCTATCACTAGTGATTTTTTTATTTCCAGCAAATTATTTGCAGTCACTATTCTTTGTGCTTCCTTATTTTAGTTACTTTGCCTTTTCCACAGTTTTAAACAGAAGAGCATCAGAACGAAATATCTAGCTAATTTAAATGAAACACTGGGTTTGCAGCTTCCTGCTATTACAGGAGAGTCTCAGAAAATGGAACATTCTGCCCAGGGGAGATTTTGCTTCTCTGAGATGGCAAGAGGCAAACATTTTGTTATGTTGACACATTATTCAATTAACCAATGAGTGCAAATCCTGGAAAAGCTGACTATTTGTCCAAATGGTATAGCTGCTTTAGTTTACTGAAATGTTGTTGGGCTAATGTAGCTGATTATGGGCCCTATCGGGAGTAGTAGACTGTGACCCACAGACTCCCTATGCAGGCCCAGTTAAAACAGGAGCATTTAGATGTGCAGGCCAGTTGTTTTACGTCACGTTGGAAAAGAAATACTTTTACTTAAGTAAGGTCTAATTCATAAGCAAAGGCCCACGAAAAGTCAACATCTTAAGCCCTGGAGTGATTCAGACGACTTTTACCGTAGGCTGTATTACTCTGTTACTCTTTTTTTAAAAACAGAATGAAATTCAGATGACTTGAAATCACACATAGTTGAAAGAGGTTGAGTAACGTGAACTTCATCTTTCCCCTGGAGTCTCATTTCTGTTTACTGGACATTGCGAATGCTGGATCACCTATTGCAAAGCTTGTCCTTTCAAAGTATTCATACAATATGATAGGAAGGTCTGAAATGACATTTTAAAGATTCTTTATAATTTTCTAGGAGGACTGACAGTCCTTAAAGGACATTTATGATACCATATATGACATTAACTCAGTACATAGTTGTAGAGCCATTTCTATGAGCCAGGCACAGGGATACTATGACAAACCCAGCCACAGCCCCTTCCTTCATGGAGCTTATAGACTAGTGTGAAATGCACAGAGTCGAGCCAAGAAGCATGTTTGCTTTAAAGTGTAATTGCTTGAAGATTTTATTTAACCACAAACAAATAGCGTATAGATGACTTTTATTATTCTATATGCATGGAATATAGAATAATAAAAAAGAATGAATATAGAATATAGGATAATGCATAGAACACATGATGTTTGGTAAGTGTTTTACAATAATTTGTTAGTGATTACCTTTGAAGAACTATCTAAACATAGTCTACATAGTGATATGGTAGTTTGCATCTTTCTGTTTGTGCAGCTACTGCTAGTGGCCCAGTTTTCTTCTTTAGTGGACATGGAATTTATTCAGTAATTTTCTAACTCCAATCAGTAAGTGGTTGGTGAATAACTTGAAATATTCCTCTCTGTTTAGGCTGTAGAGTTTTCTGTGTCTTCATTCTCCTGTACTCATAGCCTAATTTTTAACTGAAAAGTCCATGTTCGAAGCACAAATAGCCTTTAGAAAGAAAGTATTTCTTATTATTGATAGGAGTAGTTCTCTGAGTAAGACAGCAGTAGTGTTCTTGCTTCTTTTTCATTAAGGTACAAATTCAAAACATAATTGGTTCTGACCTTTCAGTTATTACTTCATTCTTGGTCCAAGTTAACTTGTGCCAGTGACTTGAAGATGCAAGAAGTGCGTGTAGTTGTCAATTCTTAGAAATGAATGTTCCGGTGAAATCTGTTTTGGACCTAGAATCTGCCAAAGCCGAGCATCGTGAAATGCTTCGAATGGAGAGCCTCATAGATCTCTCTGAGGTACAAGCAGTTCCAGCTTTTACACACAATGTGTTCTTAGAGGCTGCCTCTTAAAGTGTTTCCCCAGTACACTGAGTTGGACTTTGCCAAACATCTGTTTGGGCAAGGATGGAAACTATCAGACGAAGGTGTCAAGGCTAGAGGAAGGGAAGCGCAGGTCTTTTTCAGTCAGTGGCTGGCCAGCAGAGTAGTGAAATGCAAAATAGTATTAAATAGCTAGCAGGACGCCTGGCCTCCCTAGGGTCCCTGGAGCCCTGGCAAGCGAAAGAGAAGTTTAACCTCCATAATGTCATAATGTAATAACTACCTTTAATTGAGAGCTCATCCTCTGTCAGGCGGTTAGCATAATTAGTTCATTTGTCCCCACAATAGTTCCACCAGGTGAGTTGCATTAGCTCCATTTAACAGAAGGAGCAGACACTCAGGGAAGGTAAGGAGCTCAGCCCAGGTGACACCTGACAGTGGCGGAGGCAGGAATGACGCCCAGGTTTTGCCCAGCTCGGGGTCTTTCCCAGGCCAGGCAGGGTCTTGCTGGGCTGCCTCACCAAAAATGAATACCAAACTCCCTCGCGTCTTATTTTGCAAGGAATGGATGAAACTGCAAGAGTTTTTATTTGGGGGAAAAATCCTTTTTCATACTCTCCCGATCGGCTGCTAGTCCTCAGAGACTGATAGAGAACACCTATTCCTCTGGGACCTGCA